GTTCGCAATGGATTTGATAAGAAATTTTCTGGGCAATATTTTCTTTTCTTTGTTGAAAGGTTCAAGGAAAAGTATGGACAGGACGAAAAAGAAAACTTCGTAAAATTGTTTAAACGTTTCTTAGACGACTGCTTTCTACCCTGGCAGGAGACAGAAGCAGAACTCGAGGAACTTCATAAAATGTTAAATTCACTTCATCCAAAAATACAGTTCACGATGGAATATGACAATAAGAAACTACCGTTTTGGGATATACTACTCTACAAGAACGCGGAACGGTTAGAAAGTGATATACATTACAAACAAACGGACACACACCAATATCTGGATTATCATTCATGTCATCCTGGACATACAAAATCAAACACTCCCTACACACTGGCAAGACGGATCTGTGCAATTGTAACAAATCAAGATTTAAAGAAGAAGCGTCTTGATGAACTAGAATATTTCTTACAAAAGCAGAACTATCCGAAATTGCTTATAAAAAACGGAATACAGAAGGCTTCATCAAAAAACATTGAGGAATTGAGGGCACAAAAACATAAAACTGATGACAATGTCTTGCCTTTAGTAATAACTCATAATCCCAACAATCCTCAAGTAATTGGAAAAATAAGGGAGAACTTTAAATTTCTAAACAATTCCGAGAAAATGAAACGAGTATTAGACAGAACAAAACTCATTGTAAGCAAACGCCAACCGAAGAACTTGAAGCGATACTTGACAAAAGCACAATTCAATTCAGAGGACAGAGAACACTGTATAACAAAATGCGAGCAAAAGCGATGTGGAACATGCGATGTTTTAATCACAGGAAAGTCTGTTACATTAAAGAGCGGAAAAACCTGGAGAGTCAATTCAACGATGAACTGCAAAGCGAGATATGTCATTTACGTGATCATTTGCTCAAAATGCGACAGCTTCTACGTCGGCCAGACAGAAAACTTACGAAAAAGAGTGACATTGCACAAGGAACAAATTCGACACGAAGAGTATAGACATCTAAAAGTAAGCGAACACTTAAATATGTGTAAGAACGGAATTTTCAAAATAATGCCTATATATCAATGCATTAACACGGACAGACTTTTTAGGGAGATGAAAGAAAAATAACTTATCAATATACTGAATCCGGATCTGAACGCTAATTAAAAAACCATTAAGTTTATGCTTACATTTAGATCAATAGAATGTTTTTAACGGGTGACTTCACACCATGTAAATATATTCATTCCTAACATAGTTATTATAATATGATATCATAGAACGTAGATAATAGATAAACTAAATTCCACTCATTGTAAATATATATATATGTTAATCACCGTAGGTAAGTGTTTTTTAGTGAGCAGGAAAAGTTGAGACTGAGTCGGATTCGAACCGGCGACCTCTGGGTTACAAGCCCGTGATGATATATATATTTAAGATATATATATATATATATATATATATATATATATATATATATATATATATATATATATATATATATATATATATATATATATATATATATATACTCCGATCAAGTTCAATAACATATTAATATAAATAAATCACAAACTAAACTTTTTTATTACAACATTTATTCTAAACCAACGTTTCGGGGCATGCCCCTTCATCAAGGATGAATAACGAAGTCAACTCAGGCAGATTAATGAATGGGTCAAGTTTCAGCCAAGGTCGAAATATGGGTATACCAAGTTGGACGCGATTTTTAAAAAGAAAACAAGCCTTTAACCTGTCATGGTTTAATGTTATAGATTTTGACCTGGTGAATTTTTTACCGATTTTTATTTTATTATTCGTTCTTCACATGAGCAGTTATATAGCCTAAAACGTCAATGAACACAGGTTAAATGGAAACCCATTGTGCGGACTCATAAAATCGCTTTCCCCAATTGCCATTTTGGTTTAATGTTGTACATAGCATCTTGTACTAAACGAATCTAACTTGCTTTGTTGTCTAGATGGCTAAACAAAGTAAATATTTTGCGGTTTATGTCAATTTATTCCGTAACTGTGCGTATTTATTTAAATATATTTTGAATCAGTTCGTGTTAATGTAGGTATATCAAGTCATGACTATCAAGTTTGTGTTGTGCTTTATCTATTTAGCATAAAATTAACGTTGCTTATGTATTGTAACCTTGTCCGCAAAACGGGCGAAAGTCATAGTTTGTATCAAATATAGAAAGAAAGCTATCGCTATTAAGCCGTATTATTTACAACCAGCGGGAGTCCGCATTGTCGATTATAATTAGTTGCGCAAGACGCAAGTCAATACAAATGCAACAATTTCATGTTGTATTTCATATTATAAAGTTGTAGTTTCATATTTTATTGATACGAAATAATCAAGACGATGTTTGTGTACAATATAAACATGAAATCATGGGTATTCATCGCACTTGAATGGACTTGCAGTCTTGCGCAACTAATTATAATCGACAATGCGGACTCCCGCTGGTCGTAAATAATACGGCTTAATGGCGATAGCTTTCTTTCTATATTTGATACAAACTATGACTTTCGCCCGTTTTGCGGACAAGGTTACAATACACAAGCAACGATAATTTTATGCTAAATAGATAAAGCACAACACAAACTTGATAGTCTTAACTTGATATACCTACATTAACACGAATATTCAAAATATATTTAAATAAATACGCACAGTTACGGAATAAATTGACATAAAAGGCAAAATATTTACTTTGTTTAGCCATCTGGGCAACAAAGCAAGTTAGATTCATTTAGTACAAGATGCTATGTACAACATTAAACCAAAATGGCAATTGGGGAAAGCGATTTTATGAGTCCGCACAATGGGTTTCCATTTAACCTGTGTTTATTGACGTTTAAGGCTATATAACTGCTCATGTGAAGAACGAATAATAAAATAAAAATCGGTAAAAAATTCACCAGGTCAAAATCTATAACATTAAACCATGACAGGTTAAACCTAACCTTGTTTACTTTTTAAAAATCGCGCCCAACTTGGTATACCCATATTTCGACCCTGGCTGAAACTTGACCCATGCATTAATCTACCTGAGAATGGCCTAATGTCCTTTATATAACCCTATTAATTATATACAACAATTAATCAAAATCTCTCATATTTAATCCCCTAGGTACAAAACTGTCCAATTTGTATATCCAAAATGCTTCCCTTTGTGTAGGCTTACCAATATTGGTTTTATCAATAATATATATATATATATATATATATATATATATATATATATATATATATATCTTAAATATATATATATATATATCTTATATATATATATATATATATATATATATATATATATATATATATATATATATATATATATATATATATATATATATATATATATATATTGTCTTTATCTTAATGATAAAAATACCTTGTTTGGTACGTTTTCAATAAACATCAGATTATAAAAGAAGCAATGTTTCTTAATGAAATTAAAGGAATTTTTATTGTCTCATTTCATGAAAGAAAGTTTAAAATAATCTACAAATTCTTGTTACAGTTTATTCATATCATGCAAGCGTAACTCTTGAAATATTTTGACTGAAAGCAATGAGCTGCCCGCCATCTTGGATTAATTATTAACATTATTGACTATCGTTCTGATGAATTCAGGAATGGGGTTGGCCTTATAAATTTTTTTCTAATTTACTCAGTAACAATCAAAAGTTGTTTAAAAAATATTTTTATTCAATTGGAAATTTGAAAAAGCAACCAAAAACAAGCTTAGGGTTCATATTGATCACTGCCTGTCAAGATTGCGTGACCCCTCTTGTGGTGTAATATGTATATCTTCAATAATGCAAGATGGCGGACAGCTTATTGCTTTCGGCTTAAATATTTCAAGAATCAAATTTGTAACAAAATTTTATAGATCATTTTAAACGTTCTTTCATATCAGACATCATTTTTTGTCCCCATTCTTCGAAGGATGGTTAAAATATATGACGGATAAAAAAATGCATCATCTGATTTTTTAATTGAACTGTTTTATTTTACGAGTCTCGATTTTCTCGATCTTTTTGCTTCTACAACTTATAATTAGCAGCATAGACATATGCACATTCAATTTACAAAATCACGTGATATACCTTGATTAGCGAAGCTTGTTCACATCGACCAATTTAAGGCGGCTCGATACAGTTTTTAAAAATGGAAAATTCACGATTTAGATCCGTATTTTTGGATAATTATTACTTGTTGAAAAACAAAAAGTATGTTACTCATGTAAAACAAAATCTAAAGGTTTTGAATTTTTCCACAAAAAAATAAAATATCCAAAAGTGCTATTAAAATCTCATTATTCCTGAAGTAAAATCGACAGGAATTACATACGTGCTCAAAGTGCCACTCAACCGGAATATGATTTTTCATATTTGTAACGTACATAATATTCGTATTTGTCTTTTGGAAAGAAGTGTAGATATGGCTGCTAAATTCCCGACGAAGGGCCTTCGCTCGAAACATCGAAGTTCTACTAAGTAGCTACTAATCGTCGAAATACTAACCTTTGTGGATTTCTTTCCATTCTGTACACAAATGCAATTTTTTTTAGAAATCTAAAAATATTGAGTTTGCATAGCAACGCTTGAGGCACAACGCACGTCTGAGTTCAGTGTTGGCCAATTACTAATACTTCAGATAAATCAACGTTTGGAAAATATAGGCGAGGGGCTGCTGCATGCATGTTCAGTATTTCTAGTATTATAACATATCATGCATGATCTGTACATAAGTAAAAGTTTCTTAAATTTGAACTCCAACTAATGGATAAAAATATTCAATTGTTTCAAATTTATGTCGAATCGTTGAACCATTTGTTCTACAATGTTGCAAAAATAGAGTATATTTGATTGAATAAGAATGGCAATTTTGTACTAACAAATACAAGTACTAACAAATTTTGCACCATATGCTTCTGCTTGAGAACTTTGATACCTTATTTTCAAAATCCCCTTTTGTCTTTCAACAGGCTGGGCAACTGCTGAACTTGTCATGACAAAATTGCTGCCGTTATGGGTTGGCGCTAGAGGTATTGAATTTGATTGGAAATACATGCAAATGAGTTTTGATGCCAATATTGCATTGGTGAGTTTACAGTATACAGTATATTAAAATATAGTTGTGTAACTAATGTGCACTGATAAACATGCAAATATACTTTTGTCCAAACTATTAGTATCTGTAACCATTTAATCCATGAAGATATATGTTGTTCCCACGCACTCGAAATGTGTATATGCTCGACATTAAGACCTGAAGGAGATATTCACGATTTTAGCGGCAGCAATAATATAAATATAGTGTGCATAAAAAAAGTAATCCAAATTTAGATAACAAGCTTTCGTTGGTAGAGATGCAACTACCTGAAAAATATAAAGAGAATTTCAAATCCAAATTTAGTGTGCTCTTGTGCCCTCAATATTAAGAGCACAGACTTTTTCCATATTAATAAAAATTCGGGTTTTAGCTTTCGAATGACACCTTTCTTGTATTATTCCAAGTCCAATTGGACCAAATACGATTAAATATTGCCGACCAAAATCACATTTTTCCACTTTTGTGCATAATTAAGGTGGCTCCCTATTTTATCGAAATATTGAAACTGCATAAATGAATTAAGTCAACTCTTTGAAGAGATGTTGTTTGCTGGAAATCAAAAATTGTGTACCATATATACAGCAACAATCAAGCACTTGGAATTTGATCACAAAAGTGACGTCACCACTGTTGCTATGGTAACAATGACGATTCAAGATGGCCTATATTTTGTCTTTTAACGCACTTTACTTAAAAAAACGCCTAGTTACCCCCATTTTTTATTTCGGAAAGCATTTTCTTGTACTACAATAAACTATATGACCAAAAAAATGTTTGGTCAATTGTGCTTGGAATGATACAAAAAAGGTGTCATTGAAGAGCTACTCAATTTGTTACTAATATGGAAAAAAACCAGATCTGTGCATTTAATATTGATGGCACAAGAGCACGCTAAAATTGGATTATCCTTTTTAATACATGCACCCTGTATAAAACATTTTTTCGGCACTGTCGTGATTTCACCATTTCTTTCAACGTATTTTTAACTATTTTTAAAAATGTTGTTTCATTTGAATGAATCTCTTAATTCTTTAGCTAATCATTGTGACGCTAATCCCGGACAGCAACAAAGTACTTTAGTCTCTATGCATCCATTTTATCCGAGATTAAGTATTATACCATCTATATAGCAATGCTGGGCGTCTTTTTCTACGCCACACTTTTAGTATACGCAGCCAATGACCCAACATGAATGTAATCTTAAGGTACAATACTTCATATCATTCCCACTCACACTCCTAAAAAATTATCCATGTGTGACATAAAGTAATTTATTTTAGTTAATGATGGTCAAAATTGAATTTCGAAGATTACACTTAATTTTTCGTTTTGCATTTTCGTAATAATCGTGTCATATCTTTTTTTTTTGTTTCTTGTAGATACATCATATTGCAACGGCGACATTAGTTTGGTTGTGGTCGAGGCATGATCTACAAAGGTCATTCCTTCCAGTTTTAGGAACATTTATGGCTCTCTCTTGCTTCAAACCACTTATCATCGAGTGAGTGTATATATTTTAATACTTTGAATTTGCTTTATATATAGTTTCATACAACCCTGTCAAAAGTGCGTTAGGTCACCACGTGCACAAATATCTAGACTTGCTTCATCCCCGCACGACTCCATTCCGATGTGATATTAAAGTGGCTTTTTGTAGGAAAACGTTTGTTGGGTTCAAATACCGGCCAAATATGCATGCATTGTGTATTAGCTTAACTGTCAACAGAATTTTTCAATTGTCTCTGGCATGCGCTATATTCTTTTAGGACAAGGAATTGTATTATCTCCTTACAATTTAAATTGTACCCCAGAGATGGAAAAAGTATCAGAACCTGCATTTTTTTAGGATCCACATTTTTTATGTTTGATTCTAGTTCTGAAAATTACGCTGATTGAGTATCTAAATTATTAAATACCTGATTACTGAAATTATTGAATACCTAATTAAATTCGATATACTTAAATTACAGTGGAACAGTTTCATAAAAAAATATTCATATAATCTGCAGTAAGAAATTCGGTTTTAGTCCTGTTAATAGACTGCATGTAACTACTATGATTACTTTAGGATTACACTGTTATTTTCAGGGAGTTAAAATAACTCCGGAAAAGGGGGTTAGCAAAAAAGGTTCAAAATAATCCGTTTTTTGGGGTTACAAATAACTCCATTTCTGGGGTTAAAATGTAACTCCACTTTTGGGGGTTAATCTAACTCTCATATTGGAGTTAAAATCTAACCCCTATACAGGGGTTACATAATTTTAACTCCGTTTCAGGAGTTAAACCGGTACTCTTGAAGACGTTTCCTCATCTTTTTAATTATTTTTACACATTTTTAATGTTATGAAAACCAAAACAATGAAAAAACATCACTTAGTTTTCATAACATTAAAAATTGCGTAGAAATAATTTAAAAATGAGGGAAAATCTTCCGAGAGCGTTAGTTTACGGAACGCTTTCTAACTACTTAATGCAACTTACCTCGTAAAACGGGAAAGTATCGAGAAACCTACCAATCAGTCTAATTATACTATTCAATTGCTTCATCTAATCCAAAAAGTACGCGAGAAAGTTTTCTGTGAAATATATTTTATACAAACTAGCCATGTATTTCTAGAAAGCTCTACAACTTGATTTCAAACCATGCATCATTGACACATTAAGTTACTGTCAAATTTAAATGTTCACAACTGAATTCATATACATTTGTCAAAGACAACAAGTACTATCACAATGGTAAAACTTCAGTAAATGTGTTTACAGTACAGTACAGTACAGTACAGTACAGTACAGTACAGTACAGTACAGTACAGTACTGTACAGTACAGTACCTGATTATAGTAACCGACGAAGCAAGATATTTCCTATAATCTTGCATTAAATTGAATTAATAATTTAATCTGAAATTAACTCATTAATGGAATAATACCCAACATTTCCCCCTTGACAAGTAAATTTTCTTGTATATAGACACAGTAAACTGACAAAGTATTGTAGATCACATTAAGACATGATATGCATTATAGCCTTATGGACTGAAATTTGCCCTGGATTTTTCAAATTGAAAATTAGGAATTATGTTGTTTTGTTAGCCCATTTATACAGGCAAGGTGCTCTGTTTATTACTACCTGTATGGCAATAATACTTGATTGCCTCACACCACAAATTTTACTTGTCAAAGAGAGGCAGCTTGGTATGTACAATGAGACAAGGATATAGGTAAAAAAGAAAGACTGTATTAAATTAATCAATACACAGTAAATCCCTTTGCTAAAGAAATATGTTGCATGTTGATGTAGGCAGCAAATTAATTAATAAAGTGCCTGTAATTACTTTCGTCCTGAATCTGTTGATGGTGACTCTTTTTCGATCGATATACATGTAAGAATCAATTGGATTGCTCTAGAGAGTTTCTTTGATGAATTCATTTATACAGCATGACATAGTTGACACTTATCGACATCGAACCAAATCAATATCTTGATGTAAGACAATCGGTTTCAAATGGCCGGTTATAGATATCGTCATGACCATATCCAGGCTATGATTCTTTTCCATCTGAAGTGTTTTGGCATGCTAGTACCAACCTACAATATTAAATAATAAGCATTTACCACATGACAAATGTGAAGCTTGTACTACATCTAAGACACATTTTACTATTGGTTTTCAAAGTTGTGACTTCAAAAAACTTGAGTAATCATAGCTGCAAAAACCTGGCAATGTTCATAGAGGAACTAATTTCATATTATAATATTTATATCAAACTAGTTTTCCATGGTTCCGAAATGGAATTCATTGAGGAAGCCATTGTCAGTTGCCTTTGGATCCTAAAATTCTTAACACCAAATAATTGTGAGAATTTATACCGAGGGTCTCCCAGGGCTGGTTTTAGGGAACCAGGGAACAATGCATATTTTGCAATCAGAATTCAAAGCAAAAAATGATAGAAAACAAAGGACCATAAAGTTTGGAAAACAAGTAAACATGGTGAAATCTTTGTGGGGAAAAAGGAAAAATTTGCAAGGGAATACATATCCCTCATATGATGCCCTAACTCTTGTACTCTACAGTGAATTAAAAATATTAGTTTTTGCACCTTAATTTATATTTGAAGCTTGAGCCATCACTGGTGCTGCAAAGAAAGCCATGACCAATTCTTCTTCTCAATATGCCTACTGAATAATATAAAAAAACTTATATCAGATTCTAAAAACATAAAACCTTCGTCACGTTTCAAAGGTTGCCCTCTTTTGACTATAAATGTATCGCATTTTATAAATTTTATACACAAACAGAAGCTAATTTTTATGAAAAACCGGACAGATCTCGTCCTGATTTATTTGACTTTGGGGTAAACTGCTATTTTAATACTTGGACTCTTGGTCTTTCATGAACCGTCTTTCTCAAGAAAGGCGGCCTTCCTTCTGGAAAAAACTCGCCTGGCACATGATGTAAAATTTGCTGAAGGTCTATTTCAGTGTTACACGAAAGAAATACTATTTCAATCTGCACTAGAAGTATTTTATATGTTGACAGCCTGGACAGTCGCCGTGTGTCTAGCCTGTTTGAACGCGAAACCACCACAGGCTTGTTTGTAGGAAAATTGAATGCAATATACCAAAAATATAACATAAAAGTCCATAAGACACAACCTTACCTTCAAATATATATTCTAAACCAGTACACCGGTACTCTTCTGGCATTTTTCTGTAAAAATATCCAAGTTTAATCAAGAAAATTTTGTGCTAAAACCCGAAGTACAAAAATCTCAACAAATAAATGAAGAAAAGAGCGGGAAAATAATTATCCCGGTCGGGAAATTGAACTCTTGTTGATTACTGGATGCTAATTGGACAGATTCCTAACTAACTACCGGGGAAAATTTCCCTCGGCACTTTGCGTCTCCTTGGCAAATGTAAACAACAAAAAGATTTGTAGATTTCATATATTTTTTGATATGTCCGTGTACGGAGAAATATGCAGCAAGTTGGACAAAAAATCGCACTTCGAGAAGCACGATGATAATCTATCTGAAAGTAAGTACTCTCGATATAATAGGCTCTTTTGATAATGGGCCCTATTGACTACCCATTGTATTAAAGCTTTTTGCTTTTATGTTTAAAGTATAGATGGTTCCATAGTTGCAATTACTATACTATACTGTTCTATTATAGTGTACTGCCTGCTACTCTTCTAGAAAAAACTGCACTGTGCAGTGCCTTACTACAGTGCCTTACTGTAATGTGTAGTACATACTATATGTCTATATTGACTGGTTGGTTCCATACTTTTAATATTGTGTTCTGCCATACAGTACTGTGTGGTGCTGTATTTATACTATACTGTGGTGCCATGCATACTACATTGTGGTGTTGCTCTATACTGTATTGTGTGATTCTGTATTCTTCTGTGTTGTGGTGCCTTGTGTGAGCCATACTATACTAGAGCTAGCATGCTTCGCTCTGCAGTACACAGCCCAAGACAGACCAGTATGGCAGAGTAGTGTCATACATTACAGTACACTATAAAACAAAGTATGGCATGCCATGCTCTAGTATATAGTATGGCTCACACAGAAGGCACCACAACACAGAAGAAAATACGATGGCACAATACAGTATAGATCAGCAAAATAATATAGTATTGCATGGCATCACAGTATAGTATATAATATAACAGTACAGTACAGTACAGTACAGTACAGTACAGTACAGTACAGTACAGTATGACAGAACACAATTAATATCAAAAGTATGGAACCAACCAGTACAATTTATAGATATACAGTATGTACTATACACTACAGTAATGTACTGCACAGGGCATATAATATTGCTGGGCCATGCTTTACTGTGTGGAATGTTGTACATACTGTACTGTGGTGCCATACTGTACTGTGGTGCCATACATGCTATATCGGGGTCTTGTAGATGGACATTATCAAGTGGAAATTTATA